TGCTGATCGATTGTTTTCCTCCTCTCGCTACCTCGGCCTCTCGGGAGATGGTTGACGGGCGTTTTGCCTGTGTGCTTTGTGAGTCACTACTCCGTCAAGGGGAACTGATTGGACTTTAGTCGGATGGTCGGTCTGGCGGTTCTTCTTCTTCCTCACCGAGTATACTCAGCGTCGGGCTGTCTCCGTGCGGCCTTCTTAAGTCCGGTGTGTTTGTTTGGTCCTGAGCTCTACGATTGTGATGACGTAGGACTTTGTAAGCTGCAGGAAGGTACAGATGCCTGTTGATAGAGTGGGCATCGGAGAACCACGCCTCGAGAGTTAGCCGTTCTGTTTTCGTTTTGCCTCGGCCTAGGATGGTAGCCCTCTGCAGGACTTAAGAAGGCCGCACGGAGATAGCCCGACGCTGAGTTTACTCGGTGAGGAAGAAGAAGAACCGCCAGACCGACCACCCAACTAAAGTCCAATCAGTTCCCCTCGACGGAGTGGTGACTCACAAAGCACACAGGCAAAACGCCCGTCAACCATCTCCCGAGAGGCCGAGGCAGCGAGAGAAGGAAAAAAATCGATCAGCATGAGGCCGGCCAACACAACTGCCACTTTAAATTAAATTTCTGATCGATTAAGTGCATTTTACGCTTTGACAATGAAGAGCTCACCCAGCTCTTTGAAACGTCAGCACTTAAATAAACCTCTTCCGGAGAGCCTGTCTTCGTCTTCAAATAATTAACCCGGATATCTTAACTTTGCCAATCTGAACAGATTTTTTGAGCCATCAGTGCTCCGTGCAGCGCGCCGTTGGGAAAAATTCGCCCTGCGGATTGCGTCAACTCAAGCACAACTGGACTTCCTCCACCGCTGCCTGGACAATCAATTGACTCCAAAGAGCGTCACTTAAAAGCCTCCTGTGAATTCTGCTCTGGCAAGGGAGACTGTAGCCCGACTTGGCAGAAAAATGACAAGAGTGCTAATTCACGATTGCCATTAAAGACTTAAACGCTACAATTTAGAGATAGACCAATCTAAGTGTTATCTCTGGAGAGCTGCCGGTGAAGAATCGAACAATATAGACCTGACCATTCTCAGACATGCTCAGAAAGTACGTGCCAAAAGAAACAAGGAATTATAATGGTAGGGGGCGCTCACCGATCGTTCATAAGGAACTCACTCGTTCCGTTGTGCCTTAAGGGCTCTCTCTCGAGCCCAACCAGCAGCCGCACAGCGGCGCATGCTATATAGGCAGAATGGTATTACCGACAAAGACAAGGGAGACTAGAATGGCCATTTCTGGCTTATTAGCCGTCGTCAGCCAGCCATATCCAAGCGCGAAGTGTGGAACACCCGAGCCTCGAATTATCTATAAAATTGGAAGAACTTCGAGTACCAAGCTCCGACAACTAGACAGGCGTCCTTGTTCACAACCTTTCATCTAAAACCCTTACGAACACACGACTCGCAATCCGGGAACGTGGAGCCACTTTTAACACAGCAGATGCCGCACCCACAGAGTTTATTGCCGCCTTCGAATCTGTTCTTTAATTAACAAAGGCATCAGAAGAGACTAAAGATTTGATCTGTCACCAAACCTCCTCGTTGCTTATGCGACACGGGAGGTGCGAAACTCTTAGCAATATGGAACAACGAGCACTGAAAAGCCTAGAAGCAGACAAGGACATAATTATTCTGCCAGCTGACAAAGGATGTTCAACAGTTGTACTGGACAAATCGGATTACAAGAACAAGGTACAGGACTTATTCGAAGACCAGCATTCATACAAACAATGCCGTGCCAGCGAAATGAAAAATCTAGTCACTAGGATAAACAAAAGTCTAGGAAATCTAAGGGCCAAGGGGGCGATTACACCCAACGACTGGTTTCATGCATGAAACCCACTGACACCGCCACGGCTCGTTTTTACGGTCTACCGAAGGTGCACAAGGCAAATGTCCCACTCAGGCCAATCGTATACCTTCGTGGAACTCCGACGTACGGTTTGACAAAATGGATGTTCGGTCGTCTTAAGTTTTTGGCCGAAGGCTCACCAACAACAGTATAATCTGCGTTTCAATTCCTCGAACGCATAAAACATCTGAGGTTAGAGCCAGACGAGTCCATGGTATCCTTTGATGTCGTTTCGCTCTTCACCTCCATTCCACAGCAATTAGCGATAGACGTTGTGGACAAACTACTGGCAGAGCGTTATAAGGAGAGAGACAAACCCCTGAAGTCTGAGCATCTGCTCGAGCTTCTGCGACACTGTCTCAAGACCTATTTCACCTTCGGCGGACAAATGTACGAACAAATAAAAGGCACTCCTATGGGCTCCCCTATATCAGGCCTAATCGCTGAAGTAGTTCTTCAACGGGTAGAACATTTGGTGCTCACCAAGTATCAACCAAAGTTCTGGGCCCACTATGCTGATGAAACCTTCGTCGTTGTCAAAACAACTGACATTGAACACCTAAAGGAACTACTCACCTCGGTTGACCCGGATATCCAATTTACGATGGAAGCAGAAACAAACAACCGACTGCCTTTTCTTGACGTATTTGTGCGCCGGTGTACCACTGGACAGCTGCAAACTACAGTATTCCGAAAATCCACCGACACGAGACAGATCCTACACTTCAAAAGCAACCATCCTGTGTCTCACAAACGTAGTTGTGTCCGCACTCTATTCCAAAGAGTCGAAACACACTGCAGCACACCAGAAGATAAAAGGGCCGAACGATTGTACCTTGTGAACCTATTTGCAGCCAATGGTTATCCCAGACATTTCATCGAGAGAAGCAGACGTTGGGCGCCCAGACAACGGCCAAATGAGCAGCAACCCGAAGTCTGGAGGGCCATTCCTTACGTTAAAGGGGTCCCTGAGGCGGTCTCGCGACTGTTACAACCCACAAGAGTAGGCATAGCCCATCGACCTCAAGCAGCAATTCGACGTCGCCAAATGCAACCTAAGGACCCATTGTCACCCACTGAAACCTCAGCAGTCAACTACAAAATAAATTGCAATGAGGGTGACTGCAACTATGTGGGCGAAACCGGGCGGAGGTTGCCAACTCGCCTACAAGAACACAAATCGGCCACTCGGAGGTTAGACCCTAACTCTCAACTAGCAACACACGTTGGAGAATCGGGCATACTTTTGATCTCCAGAAGGCTACCATTTTAGGCCGAGGCAACACGAAACCAGAACGGCTAACTCTCGAGGCGTGGTTCTCCGATGCCCACCCTATCAACAAGCATCTGTACCTTCCTGCAGCTTTCAACGTCTTACGTCATCACAATCGTAGAGCTCAGGACCAAGCAAACACACCGGACTTAAGAAGGCCGCACGGAGATAGCCCGACGCTGAGTTTACTCGGTGAGGAAGAAGAAGAACCGCCAGACCGACCATCCGACTAAAGTCCAATCAGTTCCCCTTGACGGAGTAGTGACTCACAAAGCACACAGGCAAAACGCCCGTCAACCATCTCCCGAGAGGCCGAGGCAGCGAGAGAAGGAAAAAAATCGATCAGCATGAGGCCGGCCAATACAACTGCCACTTTAAATTAAATTTTTGATCAAAGAAGTGCATTTTACGCTTTGACAATGAAGAGCCCACCCAGCTCTTTGAAACGTCAGCACTTAAATAAACCTCTTCCGGAGAGCCTGTCTTCGTCTTCAAATGATTCAATTCTATTCTTGTGTATCACTCTTAAACTTCTGACTTCAGAGTTACATTAGACTAGGCCGCTGAAGCCCTTTATTGCCAAGGCCGTTGGTTTGTGAACACTCTATTGTCGATGAGGAGCTGTCTTTTTTTTTCACGGTGACGTCCGAGCCATTGTCCAAAATGCCTAAGTTTCGACGTTTCCTGTTAGGGCTGCTAATTTGGAGCAAATAACCCCTAGACATAATGGTACGCAATCCCAGTCGGGTCACGAAGCTATTTATCTTTTAATGTCCGTCGATCGTTCTCTGATAACATTATATGCAAAAGCGTATGATGACGTCTTTTGCAGCCGGACTAAATACGACTTTCTCTGGACCTGCACATCTTGGCAAAGTGCATATTACTAAGACAAACGAAACACGCTTTGTGGTCCCGCACGCCATCATACCTATCTGCGAAAGCCATTGAAAGTAAAGGTGAACGACTTGCCACTTTGTATGCTAAAGAGGATATGTAACATGGTCGCCGATCAGGCTTCACACTCGGGAATCACGAAATTATTAAGGTTTTCCCGTTTTCGATGTTGCGAACTGACGATAAAGGACTGTTGAGGCCGCTTGTCATTCTTGTATCTAGACGTTTGCCGGGAACGACTCCTCGCTATCCTAGCACGAATATTTACTAATTCCATGAGATCTGCGAAATCTGGATCTCTGCCACTTATAAGGATTCTGTCAGCCTCTTTATTTCTCTGGATTTGCATGTAGAGCGGTGGACAGCGCACTGTTTACTCCAGGATATTTAGCGACTGTAATTCGAACACTTAGTTCATTTGCTTAAGCGTTACTTCACAACTTTTATCTCCATGCACAGGTCTGAAAGTGTCTTTAAGGTCTAGTTAACTTGGCGTGCCTGCCCGAGGTCACCATCCAGAAGAGAACAGGCCACAATTTGGGATTGGTTAAACAAGTTCCTCAATATTTCCGTGCTCCAGAATAAGCTAGCGATGAGGGCAACATGATACAATATTATACTGCAACTTCCGCATCACCTCTACAATAGTAAGTCGAGTGCAGGAGCTCCTGTCCAGCCTCTTCATTTTTGCTGTCCACGCACACTTCGAACTGGCGTACAAATTTCCAGTAATGATTAGCGTTACTGTTAAAACAGAACAAGTCGACCTTGTACAGTTTTAAACCGGTAACTACCAGACTTTCAGTACATGCTCTGGACATATCAACATCCTCAAAATGGCAATGTTCACGCTCTCCAGGAAAAGTTTCCTTCACTGTGCATTGCATAAAATATCCCAGCACGTTTGCGACTAAATCTACGGACTGTCGCTCAGTTGGAGACCATAACGATTCTAAACTGTGCTTTGGAGGCGGCCAATGGCTTGACTGGCTTTCGAAATCCTGCGAGCGACTTCGTAATCGATTTTGATGCTACGGAGAGGGTGCTGCCCAGGTACGGGAAGTTCTCCACCACTTGCATTTGTGTTCCGTTCACGCTGATTTGTGGCGGCGGCGAATTGGGGTGAGTAACTGTGTTGGGTGGCGGTTGATGCATGATTACCGTCTTCTGCGTGTTGATGACCAGACCAAAGTTCTCGCAGGCGGCGGAGAACAGGTCCATGCTCCGTCGCATCTCCTCTTCAGAGGTGGTGTTCAGGGCACAGTCGTCGGCGAAGAGAATTTTGTGAACGGTGGTTGTGGATACGCGCGATCGGGAGTGCATCCGCCGTTGATTCAGAAGGTGACCGTCCGTCCTGTAGGCGATGCGGATACCGGGGCGTTTATCACGGTAGGCGTCCATCTGCATGACAGAAAACATAAGACTGAAGAGGGTAGACGCCAGGACGCATCCCTGCTTCACTCCGTTGGTCACTGCGAATGCCTCTGTGACGACTCCGTTGTCCGTGACTCGCGCCATCATACCGTCGTGCAGCTGACGCACCATCTAAATGGATCGCTCCAAACAGCCGAATTTCTGCATGATCTTACACATTCCTTCACGATTCACCGTGTCGAAGGCTTTCGTCAGGTCCACAAAGGTAGAGTACAGGTGGGTCCGCATCTCCTGGCACTTCTCCTGAAGTTGACGGGCTGCGGAGATCATATCCGTGGTCCCACGATGACGACGGAAGCCGCATTGGCTTTCCGGCAGAAGGCCCTGTTCCAGATGATTATTCAAGCGGTTGAGGAGGGTGCGAACGAAGATCTTTCCGGCGATGTTCAACAAGGAGATGCCGCGGTGATTGTCGCAGACTTGGCGATTCCCTTTTCGCTTGTAGAGATGCACGATGGGTGCGTCTTTGAAATCTTGCGGGACTTCACCTTGACGCCACATCCCTTGGAAGAGCGCAGTCAGGTGATCCATTAGTCGAGGACCTCCGTGCTTGTAAACCTCAGCAGGGGTTGCGTCCGATCCGGGTGCTTTCCCTCTGGAGAGCTGCTGCACGACCCTGATGGTTTCCTGAAGAGATGGCGGGAGGTCGAGGTCCACGTTGGTCTCCACTTGCGGCAAACGGGCGATGGCGTCGTCGGAGATGGCGAAGGGGCGGTTGAGGACGCCTCGGAAATGCTCAGCCTATCGCTGTAGAATTTTTCGTCTTCTCAGTCAGGAGGGTACTGCCGACGGCGCTGACGAGAGGAGCAGAGCCCTTCTTCGGTGGACCGTAGACAGCTTTGATCGCAGAGAAGAAGCTCTCCCACTCGTTGCGGTCCGCGTACCCTTGGATCTCCTCAGCTTTGAGAGCAGTCCAGGCGTTCAGCATCTCGTGCAGTCGTTGCTGAAGTTGGCGGCGACTGCGGTAGAAAGTAGGTCTGTTGTCGTCCGTAGGGTGGTCTACGTAGGCTTTGTGCAGGCGGTTCTTCACGGCGAGCAGATTTCTGATGACGGCGTCGTTGTCTTCGAACCAGTCCTGGTGTTGGCGGCGTGCGCGACCGAGGACGGCTAGTGCCGTCGACTGGACCGTGTCTCGCAGTTGACACCAGCGGTTCTCCACGGAGGCGTTCTCGGCAGCGGCGGCAGCGATGGGAAGATTGTCTAGCCGTTGAGCTAGCTCAATGCTGAAATGAAGATGGTGAGCGGGCAAAGACAACAAGGCAGTATTCAGCTTACCTGGGGGTCACATACCTTGTGGTCTCCTGCGAGGTTGTAGGCGAATACGCATCTTCGAGATGACGAGGCGATGGTCGGTCCACCCGTCAGCGCCCGCGATCGCCTTTTTCACCAGCACGTCCCGCTGATCTCGCCTCCGGACGAGGACATAGTCCAGCAGGTGCCACTGACGCCACCGAGGATGCCTCCAGGTGGCCTTCTCTCGCTCCGGCTGACAGAAGAGGGTTTTCGTCAGGATGAGGCGGCGTTCTGCGCAGGTGCGGAGAAGCAACAGACCATTGTCGTTTGAGCCGCGGAGACCATGGGGACCCAGCACTCCTCTCCAAGCAGCATGGTCTGTGCCGACGCGGGCGTTGAAGTCACCAAGGACAATCAACTTGTTCGCCTCCGACACAGTCGCCAAGAGGGCGTGCAGGTCCTCGTAGAATTTGTCTCTTGTGGCGTCGGGGCTGCTCATCGGCGGTGCGTAGGCGCTGATGATGGTTGCGAATTTGCCGCCCGCCCCCGGAGAGGCAGACGGAGGCTCATCAGGCGATCGTTGATGCCCTGCGGCAAAAAGGGCAGTCGTCCCACTATGTCGTTCCGGATGGCGAAGGCGACGCCCGCATCTCGTCCCTCTGCCCTGGGACGACCGCTCCAGAAGAAGGTGTGGCCGGCACCCACCTCCTCCAGTTGGACGTGTTCGAAGAATCGAGTCTCGCTGAGTGCGGCGACGTCCACCTTGTAGTGCGCCAGTTTCCGGACCACTAGCGCCGGCCTCCGTTCCGGTAGGTGGCTCCTCGGGAACGAACATTCCAGGCTGCCAGAGTGAGCGGACTCACCCTGCCAGTCTGGCGACGAGTAGGGCGGCGTAGAGGAGGTGGAGAAGAAGATGCCGAAGGAGAAGAATGGGCAGAAGAATAGCCAGAGGAAGAGGAAGAAGAGGTAGGATGAGGAGGAGAACGAGTAAATATGTTGTTGTTTTGATTTTGATTGTTTCGACCATGTTTATGACATCTGCGACCCTGGTTAGCCTGCAGACGACGTGGTGGCCAGCAATGTTTAGGCCACATTTTCCGGGCCCATCCCCTCGTGAGGGCAGGCAGTGTCATCCCTGAATAGGGCTGCCCATGTGCCGTTGTGGCGCGGCCGAGCTCAACTATAGGGCCACGACTACTTGTTAGTAGTGGAGAACGACTCTGATTTGCCGTAAGCCGCGGTCTCCGACGGCGTAGGTGGGCGCGTTAAGGCGATGTCGATGTGGAGATCCAACCCGTCACCGGCTGTCCAGCCGCGTACCAGACGGAGCCTCTTCACGACGGTGCCGACGCGAAGTTCCATCCGACCATCCATCCGGTGGAGTCCGCGATACACTGTGCACGCGGCACAACGGGCACAGCGCCTTCACCTGATTTAGCCCGCCGGTCGAGGCGGTTGCCTGGGGTGTGGCCGCTGAGCAGAACCCAGCTACGTGGAGCCACAGGTTAGAGTTGGGTGCCAGCAAATGGACGCTAGGCGTAGTCTAACCTGCAAGCAAGTGAGCGACCACTACGACCATCACGTGAACCCACCGCTGACACTCCTACACCCCTACTTAGAAACAGAAGATGTAAAAAACCCACAGGGGTTAAACGGCAAAGCAACGCTAGGATATTGGTAAATATTATCTTAGACCCAAATCACAGATATAGTCAAATGTGATTTTCTATCTGCCAATCAGCAAGAAATAGGAATGCCGACGGACACACTCAAGGAACTATTACTAAGGTGCGCATTTCATGTGCAGTTCCTTTTTGCCAAAGCAGCCCTATAGACAAAAAGACGACATTGCTATTGTCTAGCCTCTCGGACCTCTCCTAGCCGACGTCATCATGGGCAAGCAGAATAGATTTCAACTGAGCGATCAGATCGAAAAGCTCAAGCATTACGGTCGCTACGTTGATGATATCTTTGCAATTTCCACCACAGAAGCCGACGTTGCTGCCCTCCTAAATGCTATAAACCAAGCACATCCATCGATAAAATCAACATTGGAGATAGAATCGGCGCATCGCTTCTTTCCTTAGATATCTTTCTAAACAGGATATCTGACAGAAGCATCCAAAGGAGCGTCTATCAGAAGAAAACCTAGTTTGGACGAAACACGTATTTCGCTAGTGTTGTACCTCCTCAGTAAAAACGAAATCTAGTGAGGTGGTTGGCACCAAGAGTTAGAAAAATTTGTTGAACAGATAGTATCGAGGAGCTTAAAAAGTTCAGGACAAGCCTTGCGAAAACGGGTATCCTGACAGGCTCATTGCTAGGAGCCTTGACGAACAACTCACAAAACCCACCAGACTGACCACCGAAAAGAAAACTTTGTTCCTCAAAGTTCCTTCCCAAGGAGACGTTGCGAGTGAAGTCCTATAAGAAGACGCCTTGACCAAGCTGTCTCGAGAACTTTCCTAGCAGTGAAGCTTTGCATATCATTCTCTACTAACCCTATTTTACGCGGAGAAGGCAAGGATAGGCTGCCACCTCAGACTGCATCAATATGCATCTACTCATTCACTTACTCTCGTGAAGCAGGTTATATTGGCCGTACGAGTCGGCGCCTTTCCAAAAGAACACGATAGCACCTTCTCACAAGGCTGGCAAAAGGTGTAACTAGGAGAATAGATAGCGCCATACTCGCACATGCAGTGGATTCATGGTATCATGTGGACCCCGCAGAAGCATTACGTATGCTTTATAAGGTCCCCTTGAGCCACTCTAAGCTACTGGGCCAGCGCCTGTTAGCGACAGCGGAAGCGGCCGCCATTAGGTTACGAAAGCCAACCTTATGCGCTCAGAAGAACCACGTTCAGGCTCCGCGCCTACAGTGGTCGACGGCTGACTAACGGTGCAACTCCCCCAGCGCACTTGCGTTCTCACCCCGCCCCTGACAATGACTATCATTACCCCCACCCCCTCCCCCACAGTCCCCCACCCCGCCTTTGTTTAAGGAGTACTTTTATCGACTTCTCTTATCGCTTGCATGTTTTACTTCTACCCCGTTCCTATATAACTGTACTGGCCCGACGAGAATTTATCGAAAGTTACGTATGCTCGCCACCTCGTCTTCTGATTACTGCTATGGGAATTTTCGCAACTCTAAAACAGTCCAAAGATCCCACGGTGTTGAGGGCACTCAATGGGTACCTACGTTTCAGCACCAAGCCTGTGGAGGCGAAAGTAATGGCCAAGTTTATCGGGGAATGCATTGAGAGAAACGAATACCCAAACCACTACTGGAGAGCGCTGCGGCGTAGCCGTACAGTCCTTACCACAGAAACTCTGAAAAGATACGCTGAGAATCAACTGGAAAGTACCCTCGTAAAGATAGAAGAACTGAAGCGTCACGTGGGTCAACGCACAGCCGTCCTAGACACCCTGACAGACGACGAAAGACAAGAGTTCGACAGTTACACTCAATCCATAGGAAGGAAACGCAGAGAGGCAAAAAGTTATGCGCTCCTTAGAAGTGTACATGAAATGAAACCACAATCACGGTTTCCGAAAGATCCAAGTCGGTACGTACACAATCACTCTTATATGACACTTGATAAAACATCACTTGAAGCATTATCCCTTGGTCCTAAGTTTTGCATACCTCGTCGAAAAGTTAATCAGTTAGAATTGGAAATTGCTAGCGTCAGCTAGCACCACGCAGCTACCGAGATACCTTTGAATTCATTGACGACATCAAAGACCTTAACGTCAATGGCATGGTGATGTTCTCGCTAGACGTCTCACCACTTTTTACAAACGTTCCGGTCACCGAGACAGTTGATTACATCTGTGATTTTCTATCTGCCAGTCAGCAGGAAATAGGACTCCCGACGAAGGCACTCAAGGAACTGTTACTAAAATGCACATTAAATGTGCAGTTCCTGTTCGACAACCAACTCTATAGACAAGTAGACGGCGTTGCTATGGGCTCACCACTTGGACCTCTCCTAGCAGATGTCTTCATGGGCAAATTAGAGCGATTCCAACTAAGCGATCAGATCGATAAGCTTAAACATTACGGTCGCTACGTTGATGATATATTTGCAATTGCCACTGCAGAAACCGACGTAGCTACCCTCTTAGATGCGGCAAATCAGGCACATCCGTCGATCAAATTCACGCTGGAGATCGAAACGGCCGGTTCGCTACCTTTCTTAGATGTTCTTCTAAGCAGGAGACCTGACGGCAGTGTCTGAAGAAGCGTCTATCGGAAGAAAACCTGGTCTGGACAATACACGAACTTTGCCAGTTTCGTACCCCTCCAACAAAAACGAAATCTAGTCCGATGTCTGGCACAAAGAGCAAGAAAAATTTGCTCAACAGATAGCATCGAGGAGGAGCTCAGAAAAATCTAGGACTTCCTTCGAGAAAACGGGTATCCTGACAGGTTCATTGCAAAGAACATTGTCGAAAGACCAATCAAACCCGCCACACCGACCGCTGAAAAGAAAACTTTGTTCCTCAAAGTCCCTTTCCAAGGGGACGCGACGAGTGAACTCCTTAGGAGACGCCTTGATCAAGCTGTCTCGCGAACCTTCCCAGCAGCAAGGGTTCAAATATCATTCTCTACTAACCCTATTTTACGCGGAGGAGGTAAGGATAAGTTGCTACCGCAGACCACCTCAATGTGCATATATTCCTTCACTTGCTCCTGTGGAGCAGGTTATATTGGTCGCACGAGTCGGCGCTTATCCAAAAGAATACGCGAACACCTCCCGGCATGGCTAGGAAAAGGCGAAACGAGGAGTATAAGCAGCGCCATTCTCGCGCATGTTGTCGATTCCGGACATCGTGTGGACCCCAACGAAGCTTTTCGTGTGATTTATAAGGTCCCATCGAGATACCCTAAGCTACTAGGCCAGCGCCTGTTAGCGACAGCGGAAGCGGCCGCCATTAGGTTACGAAAGCCAACCTTATGCGCTCAGAAGAACCACGTTCAGGCTCCGCGCCTACAGTGGTCGACGGCTAACTAACGGTGCAACTCCCCCCGCGCACTTGCGCTCTCACCCCGCCCCTGACAATGACTATCATTACCCCCCCCCCCCCCCCCACAGTCCCCCACCCCGCCTTTGTTTAAGGAGTACTTTTATCGACTTCTCTTATCGCTTGCATGTTTTACTTCTACCCCGTTCCTATATAACTGTACTGGCCCGACGAGAATTTATCGAAAGCTACGTATGCTCGCCACCTCGTCTTCTGATTTATCGATTTCTGCACTCACTGTACCCCATCCCATATAACTGTACTGGCCTGACGAGAAGTTATCGAAAGCAACGTTCGCTCGCCACTTTGTCTTCTGAATATTGCTAGGTGGATTTTCACAACTCAACGCAATGACTTTACCTTCATAGTATCATCCCGACGTCTGGTTCTGCCACTATATCTGTCTCGCGTCCCATGGAACCAGTCAATTTCGCTCTTGCGAACTGAATCTACGGTGCAACCTGAGAATGCGGCGTGCCCACGAATTGCAGCAGAACAAGTAAAGTTTAATATATAACGTACCAATAAGAAGGCCATAAAGGGGGCTGCCGACGAAGACCCGCTCTTCTCTCTACCCACCCCAGCAAAGTCTGAGGCGTGGGGGGTGACCGAGTAGAGCAGTCAGGAGATTCCTGACAAACTCTTTCTGATTTCGGCTGCCAATGATAGCCAGACGTTTTATCTATAATCCATTCAAATGGTAGATGTGTAAGTAATTGTTATCTAGCATTCTAAACCGCGCAACATCCCTGCGCATGTGAACCAGGAAATGGAATTGTTAACATCAGCGGGATGATACAA